CCCCAAAACCCCAAAACCCCAAAACCCCTTGATAATGATTTGAGTTATTATTAAATGTTTACGAAATAATATATATATAAATACTATAATTGAGATAAAATGAGATTTAGTGTTTTTTAGGCATTATTGACTGCTCTTGGAGTCTTGAATATAAGTCAAAAAATACATGAACAGCTTTTTTACATTGAACGTGATCTAGCAAGGATGTTTTAGCATAATAGGCCGCTAAATGGTTAGCTTCAGTTTTTACAAGAAGTTCTCATTGCAGCTAATGAAATTGGATTTTGCGTCTTTCCTGCTTACATATCAACTACTAAGCCATTCATAGAAGAATACTTGAATGCTAATGGATTTGATAAGACATATCATTCTACGGTAGATATTAATAGATATAAAGAAGGATTCAAACATATTTATATCCCAACTGATGACAAGATTCCCTATATTACCCATATGGTTTGGCTAACTCACTCTGATCACCCAAAAGAAATGATAAGGCAAGTTGATCTTAAATAAAAAGGCTACGAGTTTCATTTGAATGTTACTATTAAGACTTTGAAAAAATATAACTTCACAATCACATTGTGGGTCAACAGTGTTGAGTTAATCCCAAGGACAAAGTAGTGGGCAGATACAAACGGAATTTTAGTGAGAGAACTTAAAGAGTTTGATGGTGTCGAGGAATATAAATCAATTATGGATGAAATATATCTTTCAATTGAACAGAAAAAGTTTGCTCAAGGTGCTGATATTGCAAGACTCTTAATTATGTATGTTTATGGGGGAGTGTATGCTGATCAAGATCATTAAATTATGGAATACGATCCAATGCTTAACAAAATGAATCTCTTCTTTTATTATACGGAAAACATAGGATACAACTCGTTGGAAAATTCACTATTCGGAGCGTCTCCTAAGAATATATTTATTCTTAAATACTTAATGACTGCAATTAGTAACAGATAAGGATAGACTATTCCTTATTGTGAGTCTATTTGCTTACAAAAATCACACTTTTACATACTATTTGAGACAGGACCTTTTCTAATGTCAAGAGTTTTCGATCATTTGTTAATTAACGGAGATTTAAATGATCAACTCTATCTTGTTCTAGATCCAAGTATAGCTCACGAGGGATATGAAAGTAATAATTCAACATTAGGATTAGAACATTATGATTTAGTTTTTAATGATAAGACTCACCGACTGAAGGTACGATTTAAGCACTATCCGAGCGCTTCATGGATAGATGCTAAAAGAGAAAAAGCTTTATTTGGATGGTAAAAATGATAAGATAAATGCAGCTTTTAATAAAAACTTAATTGCGTGGAAAATAAAGTCATTTACTACTTTATTATTAAATATCTATTACCAACCTCATCTTCAATATTTTTTCAAAATCTATCTAATGGGGTTTTGGGGTTTTGGGGTTTTGGGG